AAGGGCGTTGCTGATGGCAAGCTGGGCGACAGCATCGCGAGAAAGCCAGACAGAGCGCGCACGGGCAGTGGCAGCAGTGGACTCGCGCTCAGTGGGTGTGGAGTCAGCGGGCAGAATAGCAGGGGGGCCTGGGCAGGGGAGCGTACCGTCAAGGTGTGCGGAGAGCGGTTCACCATCCTGCCGCTGGCCAGTGAGTTGGCGACGGAGGTCGGCAAGCCACGCCTCGAACTCCAGAGGCTGGCCTTCAGCGTCGAAGCGAAGCTCCGCCGCCATCAGGAACAGTGCAGTGCGGTGCAGGGCAGTGCAGCAAGGTGGAGTGCGGTGCCGTGCGGTACAGTGCGATGCAGTGCGGTGTAGGGCGGTGCAGTGCGGTGCCAGGCAGTACAGGGTGGTGCGGGGCGGTGCAGTGCGGGGCAGTACGGTGTAGGGCAGTGCAGGGCGGGGGGGGGGGGGGGAAACCGTACCAGTGAGGAGGACCGGGGCAGGGGCAGGGACGAGCGCAGGGGCCGGGCCGGTGCAACGGGGCCGGGCGGGCGCGACGAGGCCGAACGGGCGCGACGGGGCCGGGCTGGTGCGACGGGGCCGGGCGGGTGCGTCGGGGCCGGGCGGGCGCGACGGGGCCGGGCTGGTGCGACGGGGCCGGGCGGGTGCGTCGGGGCCGGGCTGGTGCGACGGTGCCGGGCCGGTGCGTGACGGGGCCGGGCTGGTGCGACGGGGCCGGGCTGGTGCGACGGGGCCGGGCTGGTGCGACGGGGCCGGGCTGGGGCGACGGGGCCGAGCGAGAGCGACGGGGCCTGAAGGCGTGACGGGGCCCAGGAGGGGGGGGGGCTCGACGCGGACCAGGAGGGGCGCTACGGGGCCCAGGAGGGGCACGACGGGGGCCCAGGAGGGGCGCTACAGGGGCCCAGGAGGGGCGCGACGGGGCCCAGGAGGGGCGCTACGAAGCCAAGGAGGGGCGCGACGGGGCCCAGGAGGGGCGCTACGAAACCCAGGAGGGGCGCGACAAGGCCCAGGAGGGGCGCTACGGGGCCTAGGAGGGGCGCGACGGGGCCAGGGAGGGGCTCGACGGGGCCTAGGAGGGGCGCTACAGGGCCCAGGGAGGGCGCGACGGGGCACAGGAGGGGCGCTACGGGGCCCAGGAGGGGCGCGACGGGGCCCAAGAGGGGCGCTACGGAGCCCAGGAGGGGCGCGACGGGGACTGGGAGGGGCGCGACGGGGCCCAGGAGGGGCGCTACAAGGCCCAGGAAGGGCGCGACGGGGCCCAGGAGGGGCGCTACGGAGCCCAGGAGGGGCGCTACGAGGCCCAGGAGGGGCGCTACAGGGCCTAGGAGGGGCGCGACGTGGCCTGGGAGGGGCGCGACGGGGCCCAGTGAGGGGTGCGACGGGGCCCAGGAGGGGCGCTAGAGGGCCCAGGATGGGGCGCGACAGGGCTAGGGGGGTCGCGACGGGGCTAGGGGCTAGAGGGGTGAGCGGAAGCGGTAGGTGGGGGGGGGGGGATCCTACCTACGTGTGATACCATATCAAAATTGAGAAGTGAATGATGGATCGAGTGAGAGTACACACAGATATACCTAAGTGTTGTACTCTCTAAGAGGCGACCCTATACAGTCTATACAAACATGACAAATACACATGTTTGACATATCTAGCCTATAACTTCTACATAAAAACATATGTATAAGTTGACACCTTGCACCGGTATCAAAGCCACCATCTGGAGAACATGCGATTGCATTTGAGAGTCTACAACACATAAGAGTTTTGCAACAAAATTGCATTTATTCGTTTTGAATAAGTTATATCATAACGTAATATCTCAATTGTAACAAATGAATGGCAAGGAAAAGGAGGGAAAAACAAGTGGAAACCCACAAGGGAAAAAATGAAACAAAAAGATAACCCAAATATGTCATGGGCCTTTTTGTTTCAGATGCGTCCTTTTCCACCTTTCAAGTCATCTTCTAGTACCTTTCCCTCCCTATCTCGCTTTGGCGATCCTCTCCCTCTCTGCTGTGGTGCAGCCGTAGAAGCGGCTGCTGCTGCCAGTGCCACAACACCACCCAACTCATCAAAACCTTGATGATAGTTCTCACCAAGGTGTGAATCTCTTGGTTGAGGAATCGGTCCATGAGACGCGGCGAATGGCAGCGACGGCAGGGACGGCGTAGATGGGAAGGCAATGGAGGGTAGGGACAGGAAAGCAGGTGGTGGCGCAAGGTGTGAGAAGGAGGGCGTGAGCAGGTTTGGCGTTACGGTTGTGTCAATGTGCCTCTGCACTTCCCCCAGAGCCTCTGCGACGGCCTTATCTAGCAGGTCCTGCTGAGGGGACTGCGCCCCTGCGAGGGGAGGAAGAGCACTGCAATTTGACCCAGCACCAGGAACTCCAGCTACCCCATGCTGATGCGTGCTCTCTGGCCACCAGTCCGCATCAAGACCGTCCACGTGGCCATGAGTAGTATGCACTTGGTGGGAGCTATCGTGCGGCTTCCATTGCATCGCATCATGGCTCAACACGGCAGGGGGCTCTGTGTCCGGGTGCTCGACATCGCTCAGCAGCAGCGCCTCCAGGGATGCGATGGTGTGCGCGGATGGCGCTCTCGCCACCGACGCATTCCACGTCAACGGATTCTCGCTGCCGCTAGTAATCGCGGAGATCTGCTGCTCTGACTCCGCGTCTGCATTGCGCGCTCCCGTCGAGAAAAGTCGAATATCACTGACAGAAAACTTTCCTGCCGCGATTTTGTCGATCATCATCCCGACATTATCACCCCCTTTACAGCCCGCTTCAGCGATTATTGACCCCTCCGTCCCATATGCGCCTTCGCCTCTGTGTCCAGCAACGACCTCAGAGCTCGCGCTAGCAACCCGCCCAACGATTCTACTGTCGATATCCACCTTAGTGTACGCAGCAGCCCTTTGCGCCACAATCGCGTCACTTTCCACGGCAGCGACATCGTCCGACGCGTCGCCCTCATCAACGGAGGCATCGACGGAGTCGAGCAGCGACGACAGCGTGACGGACTCGAACTCGTGCGGGGACGACGGCAGCGACACGGACGTCGGCGCCTGCACGCCGCGCAGCCCGCCCAGCTTACTGCGCTTCGCCCCGGCGTCGCCCTGAAACGGGATCGAGTCGCGTTTGTACAGCCGAATCACCACCCATGTCGGCGTTCCCTGCTGCTGCTGCTGCTGCTGCTGCTGCTCCGGCTGCTGCGTCTCCCGCTGCGACGATGGCGAAGGCATCCCTGCGCGTCCTTCTGCTGCTGTTTTCCTGCCCGCCGAGTTGCTAGTACTACCACCATGCGAAGGCTCCTCGGCTCGACTAGTAGGTGCGCCGTGCGACGGGTCATCAGACGGCTCCACGAGGCGGTACTCGTGCATCACCCACGCCGTCTTCTCCCCGCGCGGCGCCCTGCCCTTGTAGAACACGTGCCCCTTCTTGTACCCCACAATGCGCCCGCTTTTGCCACGCGTTTCCCCCACGCTGTCCGGCCCGTCGTTCCCCTCCCCCGCGCGCGAGGCGATCACGGGGCGATCCTTCCCCGTCGCCTTCCAGTAGCCGCACGACGTCATGCGGTTGGCGCGCGTGCCCATGAGGTATTTCCTATCGCGCGACGTGAAGAAGAACCATTCGTCGCTGCCGGCGAGGGATACCATCGCCTGGCCTGGCAGCTCCCAGGGCTCGAATTTGTACATGTCAATGTCGCTGATCGCGTTCAGCGGGATGGGCTGGTCAGCGATTTTGCGCGGTAAGTAAAAGGAGAGGAGTTCCTCGTCTGTGGGGTGAAACCTGAACCCGGGGGGAAGCAGGCTGTCGCTGTCTCCTGATACAGGCGCGTCTAAGGACATTATGGCCTTTGCTGTGATCCTAATGAGAATCGCGGGGTGTCGTTCTTCCGGGCTGATGGGATGTCTGTCCTAGAAGTATGAGCCACGAATTTCGATGCTCCCAGCCATTTGTACTGCTGGTTGGATCTCGTGAAAGCCGTGTCGCGCATTCTTTACGACGAGCCGCTATGTGCCAACGCGGTTTCACATGCGAGCTCCAGGTACGCGGTTTTGGTGCCCGAACACTCCTGGCGGTCGATTTGCGCGTGAGATTCCTTTCCGGGCGGCACTATTAGCCATTTTGGGCAGAACCAACTGCCTGCTCACACGGTTACCGTACCACACGTGTGCTTACCTACGTCAAGTGCATCCTTTACTCTCTTCGCTCAGACGTCCAAACCAGGTTACAACGTCGTACAACCACGCAGATTTCCGGATTCCATCTTCCCGTCGGATGAAGAAACAACACCTTTGAAAATAGTTTTACGGATGGTCGATACAGAAATTTTGACCGTGAAAATCGTTTCCGGGCAGCATGATTGGCGGTGTTGGCGTGCCACCTGCTCGAACTCGCACGGTTACCATGCCGCACGTTTGGTGCACACCCGCGCTGACTTTCGTCAAATGTTCTCGCTGAGATTGGGAAACCATGTTACATTTCCTACACCCGACCATCAGGTTTTTAGCTTTCCTATGAGCATATGTGTTTTAGCCCGCCATCTCTCTTGTAGTGAGCGAAGAGGTCACAGGCGGTTCGAAGTGACTTAAAGCCAGGGACCCAAGTTTCGAGAAACCCAACCAAGTGTTTTACAATTGATCACATGTTACCAGGTTTCCCTCGCCAGGGTGGGGTTGCGATTGACATACGTACCCAATTGGGCAGAGCCCAACCAAGAGTCGCAAATAATCTGGCTGCGACAGCACACCCAACCCTGTGTAAAACAGTAGGCGTGGACCAGGGCCTCAGCTAGGATTTTGGGCATCCTGTCTAGTCAGGGCTAGGCCTTAAAAACACGTGTACTGGTCAGGGTTGGACGTCAATGTTCATGCTGTTTTGTCAGGGTTGGCATCCAGCACTTAACTGCAGCCTCAGGGTAATCTTCAAAACAGCCCAAAATGTTGCTTTAAGTATAATAATAGCAGCAGCATAACACCAGAGATAATCAATATTCACAGTACTGCAGCATACATGTGGCTCGACTCAGAAGTTTCCACCATCCTCCTCATCATCACTAGAACTAAACCCGCTGCTGGAGCAGCTGTTCTCATCGTCCGCTCGTGCCTCATCATCATGCTCCTCTTCGGACAACACCACCACTTTCTCTTTGCCCTTGGCAGACTTCCTCGCACGCACTTCGCTCTGGTGGGCCCTCCTTGGCCGTCTCTTCTTCATGCCGCGCCACACCTCAATGACCCTATCCCAGTTCATGTCATACTCTAGCAAACTCATGCACATCAGATCCTCCAGCTTCCCGTTGCACAGACTCGTCCGGTTCCAGCTCTTAATCACATTTTGTCGCGAGAATCCCCTCTCGCACTCAACAGTGCTGAGAGGAAGCACTGCCACAGCCACCCACAGGCGCACGAGATTCGGGTAGCTGCGCGGCCAGTCGCTGGTCTCCAGGATGGCTGCAAGTCCGGCATGGAATGGCTGCTCCTCTTTTGGCACACCAGCAAGCACTGGCACGAGGGTGCTGAGTTCCTTGCGTGCCAGCCGCTTGTCGACTCCTGCGAGACACATACAGGAACAGCAACACTCGTAAATCAGCAACACTCATACAGGAACTGCAATATTTTAGCAAGTTGGGCATATAATATACATTGGCATGGATAACCTTACCTGGCAGAATTTCAACGCGGTCGCTGGCGTGGAAGAGTTCGACCACGCTGTCAAAGTGCTCGGCGCACTCCTCGTCCCTCGCCTCCGTGTTCCGCGGCCATGTTCGGGGCATCCACAGCTTTGACCCGTTGAGCCGCTCAAGGTCGCCGAGCCGCAGCTGCACGTTGTAGATGAGCTCGGTCGCGTAGGAGCGACAGGTGAGCGTGCAGGAAGCTTTGTCGCCGCGGGCAGTGGTGTAGTTTGGCAGCGGCTCCTCGTGAAGCTCGAATTGATGCACTCGCTCCATTCCGTCTGCATCGACGCCCTGCACGATCACATCTCGGTTGCTGGCGTGGCGCTCCAGAAACTTGGACAGGCGATCGCTGTTCGTGCCGAAGTTAGGCCCGCAGTTGACGTAGCGCGAACGAATGAAGACGATCGTTCGCCGTACCTGCGACTGCACGCCCGTCAGGTCGATCTGTAGGAGGGTGTCATGGGATGAAATAAGAACACGAGGAAGTAAGTAATTTTTTTATTGACGGCAGTATGTTTTTTGTTTGAATTGGTTGGAAACCATTGCAACCGCAATGGCTCACCTCGCGCTTCTGGAACAGCAGATTGAGGCTGTTGAGCTCCTCGTGCACGTCGGCGAGGAAGTACAGGAAAAAGTGAAACTTGTACGATGTGACGATGTGGTACATGGGTTTGTCGTAGAGGTGCAGCAGAACGATGACGGCAGGAAGCACCGCCACCAGCCTCAGAATGGCGCCGCCACGACTGAGCCACCGAACAAGGTGAATCCCTTGCATCTCCAGATTTGTCGCCGTGAAGATCTTTTGGAGGTCCTTGAACATCTTGTGCCAGTTGTGTGAACGCCCCAGCAGCTCAGCAACCGCGCGGATGATGGCATCCACAATTCCCAGCTCAGGCAGCGCGTTGGCAGCATCTCTGGCCGCGAGGGCTTCCCTGGATGGACGGGAGTAGAAACACGACGAAACAGTGGTTAGTGCACGGTTTTCTCAACGGGATATGAAGTCTATGCATGAACGAACCGATGCGCTATGCAGTGGACAGAAACCACATGCGGGATCCGCTGTCGAAGGCGCCCAACGACCCCGTTCGTGGCTCCAACCATCACTGCGGCACCGTCGGTGCTGATGCCCGACACCTTTGAGAGACTGATGCCGATGCTATCGAGGTAAGCAACAAGAGAGCCTTCCAGAGAAGCTGCATCACATTTGTCGACAGGAAGAAGCGTTAGAAACTCTGTGACAACAATGCGCTCGCGAAGGAAAGTAGCAAACACAATCATGTGCTTGCCACGAACTCTGTCGGTACTCTCGTCACAGCTCAAGCCAATGAACGGGCTTGACTCCAAGTGCTCCCGTTGACGAGCTCGAAGGTACATGGCTGTCGACTTGGTTAACTCCTGAAAGCCATACCTGCGCAAACCATGCAGGGAGATTAGTACATGCGAGAGATCAACACATGTTAAATAGTAAACGAATAAAACACCCAAGGACTTACGTTGTGAAGTAAGACCCGTAGCCTCGTTTGGGAAAACCAGGAGTACGTCGCTTTGAGAGGTGCCGCACAAGTTGCACCCACATCTCGATGGGCGCGTCGGACTGACAGATGAAAAGCAGAGTCTCCAGCAGTGCAGTAACACGCTCGCTCTGGACGGTATGTGTTTTCGCCAAGTCCTCCATGCGCAGCTGCCCCTCAGCGATCGCAGTGGCGGTGGCTTGTCTCCGCATCGCTCTCTTGTGCTTCCGCGTGCGCTGGTGGTTTTGCATCGCCTGCGTCTGGACGTCGGTCGCACCTTCTCCGCCCTTGCCGTAGTTCGTTCCGTGCCCGCCATGTTCCATGCAAGTCTTACACTTCAAAGCCGGGAATCCTGCACGGGTCTGATTAAGCACAAGCCAAGGAAAGTCAGTACTCCACCGCTTTTTAAATTGCCAGAGAGCCTCCTGGTACTTTCGTTCGGCCACGTCTTCAAGTTCGGTGTCCGATGACGAAGTCGGAGCTGTAGATGGTCCTGAAACAACAGGAGGGACGACGTGCAGAGTCGGAGCGGGAGTGTTTTGCGACCGCCCGAAACTCAGGGTTGCCTGCCGATAGCGTGAGGGCTCGAGCTTCTTCGACGGCGGTCCAATACGGGTCGACCCTTGATTAAAAGAAGTGCGGGGCGTAGTGCTTCGCTGAGGTGGTGTTGCTACAACATGGCGAGATGCCTCCTCTACTACTTCAGCGGTGTGCGTTCGAGGGGGAGGTGCCGATGCGGGAGGATTTCTTCGCAGTAAGTCTAATCCTGTCACGGCACCCGGGTGGGACGCTGTAGAAGGATCGTCGGGAGCCTCCTCCTCGTCGTCAGATCCTGGCGCAAGCATAGTGCCCCCTAACGAGGGGGCGGTTCACAGCAGAGAAACAGACCAGCGAGCACAAGCTCTATCGTCTAGAATGGTTGGATGATTCAAGGCATGAAAGGGAGCTGTGGGGAGGAAGGACCATGAGCGATGGCTGCGCGGGAGTTTGGTCCTCCCCACATGGAGTGGTTGGCCGTCCAACCATCCATGCATGCAATGCTGCGTCAGCGAGTGGACCGCAGTACCCCAACACCTTCTGAGGCCTGGCTGTGGTGCGCTGCGCTGGCTGTATACTTAGCCGCTATTGGCCAGAATTACAGGATTTGCAGTGCACGCGGCAAACTGGTCATTTCGCGGCAACAATCTACAGGCAAAATGTGCGCTGGCACGAAAATTATGGAACTATGGGCAGAAAACAGGGGGTACACCCGTAGCGCCCCCCCTGAAGCCAGATTCGAGGTATCAGGGTTATCCTCGAATTCATACTGAGCAGTCAGGGCTGGTACACGAACACTATACTGAGTTCTCAGGGTTGTCATATGATAACCATACTGAATTTACAGGGTCAGAAATTCATTTAATCGGATTTTTCAGGTCTGGCACCTCATACTCATCCTGAAAATCAGGAATTCAGGATAAAACATCCTGATATCTGAGGCCCTGGCGTGGACTGAGGGAAACTTGGGTCCCCAACAAAAACTCGAAAGCTCCGCACTCGTAGCCTAACTCATGTTTTGTAAGTTGGGTTATCGGAACACTAAGACACTCGTTAACAACGACAGCATCGCGCCACCTACACTAACAACGACACACAGCCGCATCCGCAAATGCTCTAGCATCGTAAGCACATCTAAGCCCGGCTTTCCACCACGAGGAACGGAGAGGAGCCACTTGATGTCAAGTCAAAAGTCGCCTATACCAGCCTTGACGAAACCACGACGTTCAGGCGCGGACAAACCGAGTACTGCTAATGCTCCCACTGATAACAGCCGAGCGGAGCGCATCGGCCATCCAGACAGTTGGTCCGGAGCATAGGCGTGTAGGGCAGCATAGGTGAAAGGGTATGCGCCAGGGCTTATTTTATCAGAGTAAATCACTCTGATTCTCTGAAAATCAGAGTCGTTTTTGAAAACCACTCTGATGGTCTTGGGTAAAATTTTGTAAGTAGAAGTTTTCTCTAATTTATCAGAGTTGGCCTATGTACCACCCTTAAGAGTTTTCAATGGGGGGGATGCTCCTAGATTTTTCCCTGTTCTCTCGGTATTCGGCTAAGTCCTCCGACTGCCAGTCACACCCCTCCCATACCCCACGTACCCTGGATAATTTTGACTAAGTCCTTCGCAACTGGTCACATCCCGCCTCATACCCGCCGTAACCTGGAAAATTTCGGCTTAAGTCCTCTGTAACCAGTCACAACACACTTATACCCCACGCAACCCAGGCACATTCCTCCTTCCCACACCCAACCCAACCTAGCCCAGCTGTGTTCAGTGCTGTTTGACTAGCCCTTACCGTCAATCATGCTACATTTCACGTGTGTAACTTGGCACGGGGTTGACACGTAAACATTACAGCAAAGGCGATTGGTACAGCACATGCGCCAGCCAATCACTGGCGTATTGTTTCTGTACTTCACTCACAGGCAGACATGATTGGCTGTTGTTATTCCCACGCGAAATGCCTGCCAGCGCGAGATGCAGTGCTGACTGAGGACGCGTTTTGTACCCGAGGCGAGCCCCAAGGGAAGAATTCGGGGCATCAAATATAGGTACGGCGAGATCCCCTAAGCCAGCACTTTGGGTCATCTGGTCCGTCAAACTGATGCCCCAAAGTCCTGCCTAGGGACTCCCCGGGTACGGAACGTGCCCTGTCGAAGTATTTCGGAGCAGAGGCTGGATGATTTTTTTGGCAGAACCCGGCCGAGACATCCCAGTTTCCAGCAGACTGTACTGGGCAGATTTCGGCCCAAATCTCTATAAAGCTACACTTTTCAGCGTTCATTCAGCACAAGTCTTGGGCACGGAATTGTAGGGGTTGTGTATATGGCACGCGCCTAGAAAAAAAGTATGGTGCGATTTGGCAGTCTTCCGGGATAAAGCACCACGTTGCGAAATAGTCGTGGGGAGTGAATCCTGGGCATCAGAGTTTTTATTTGAAAATTGTGAAAAAACCCTGACAAATCAGAGTTCGAGCTCCAGGGCACTCTGAAAATCAGAGTTTGGCCAGGAGTCACTCGTGAAAATCAGAGTGGTGAAAAACCAAAGATAAGCCCTGGTATGCGCCCGCACACCCGGAAACATTAAAAAAAAAGGGTACTGCGCGAGGGATATTGAGAGCGTGGTAGTTTGCGAAGGCAGGGAGGAGAAGTACACACAAATATGGATGCTTCAACGCACACGCATCACGCCCATTGCACCCGACTGCTTTTGAGTCTGCTCAAAAGCAAACTGATGCCCATTGCACCCCTTATGGCACACATGACCACACATGAAGATCATGCTGCCTCTTTATGTTATGGCCTTTGCAAGCAGACTTCTCGTCTCTCACCGACATCAAGCGAATCAAGATGACCTACAGCCCTTCCTCCCTTCTTCAGCCAATGCCACCATTGCCTCTTTATGCTATGGCCTTTGCAAGCAGACTTCTCGTCTCTCACCGACATCAAGCACGTCAAGATGACCTTCAGCCCTTCCTCCCTTCTTCTGCCAATGCCACAATTGCCTCTTTATGTTATGGCCTTTGCAAGCAGACTTCTCGTCTCTCACCGACATCAAGCACGTCAAGATTACCTTCAGCCCTTCCTCCCTTCTTCTGCCAATGCCACCATTGCCTCTTTATGCTATGGCCTTTGCAAGCAGACTTCTCGTCTCTCACCGACATCAAGCACGTCAAGATTATCTTCAGCCCTTCCTCCCTTCTTCTGCCAATGCCACCATTGCCTCTTTATGTTATGGCCTTTGCAAGCAGACTTCTCGTCTCTCACCGACATCAAGCACATCAAGATGACCTTCATACCCTCCTCCCTACTATTGCCAATGCCACCACCCCTCTTTATGGCCTCTGCATGCAGACTTCTCCTCCCTCACGGACATCAAGCACATCAAGATGACCTTCGCCCCTTCCTCCTGCTACCCCATCTGTAAGTCCGCATGCCTCAGATTCCTTATCTCTCCCACGGTACTGGCCACATTTGCCCTACCCTCCTCATCCTAGTTTTCTCCTACTTGGCGTTTGTCTACCTGTTGCACATGGCTTTCCTCACTCTTTCCTCACTCACATGGAAGTTCCACGCCAAACTTGCACTACCCTCCCCTCCACCTCAAAAGCGGGTCCTCCTCACAACCTCCCCACAGGCACCTGCCGAGGCAACCCCCATCCGGGTTCAGGAAGTTGATCCCCCTCCCCATCTCCCTCCCCACGCAGGAGTTCCATCCGTAGAGAAGGTTGTGGGAGAGGGTAGGTTGACACAAGCACACACACTCAATTTGCCCACGCTACATCGCGTGCACTGACTCTACGCACTGGTGGGATTGCGCCCAGCGCTATTCTGCCTACAAACACGGTCTAACCGGTCTCCCATGCTGTCTCCCCCTATCCTAGGCTGTCTCCCCCTATCCTAGGCCATCTCCTCCTATCATAGGCTGTCTCCCGCTCGCCTACGCTGACGATGATTGGCCTGTATTCTATCTCCCCCTATCCTATTCTTTCTCCCCCGATCCTGTGTTGTCTCCCCCTCGCCTATGCTGTCCACCCTCTCCATTGCCGCCCCCCCTCGCCTATGCTGCCCACCCTCTCCAATGCTGTCCCCCCTCGCCTATGCTGCCCACCCTCTCCAATGCCATCCCCCCTCGCTTATTCTGCCCACCCTCTCCAATGCCTTCCCCCCTCGCCTATTCTGCCCACCCTCTCCAATGCCTTCCCCCCTCGCCTATGCTGTCTGCCCTCTCTCCTATGCTGTCTCCCTCTCCAAGTCTGTCTCCCCATAACAAATGTTGCCACCCCCTATCCCATGCATTCCCCCTCTCTTGAATGCTGCGTCCCCCTATACTCTGAGGAAGGCATGGCGAGGGGGGTAAAGGTGGCGAGGGGAGTAAAGGTGGTACGAGGCCATATGGTGGCCAATGGGTGCCGTCGAAAGATAAAGGACCTGCATGCACGATTGATGGAGATAGTCAAAAGACAAAATCAGCGGTCGATATCGGTGGGCGGGCACATGCAGGTTCCCATAGCTTTCTTACTGTGTGGCTTGACCGCACTCATGAGAGGGTCAGAGGCCGCAACATTAGCCGATCTGGTCTTCGTCTTAGCGGCCGCCACTCCAAACGTTTTTGAGAAGCTGGTTGCAGCTGCAACATCAGCAGGTAAGGCCCATGTGCTGCAATGGAAACACGTCCGGAACAATGTGATGGATATCGTGCAAATCTGGAGAGAACTAATTAGAGATTAAGTTTGACGATCTCAACAGAACATTGCGTGCAGCTCAAGTAACTTCTAGAAATGAGCTTATACGCGTTGGAAAGGTCTTAATCTCTACTTTCCAGAATGGTAAAGCACGTTCATAACCAAGATCTGAGCCGCCGATTATGACGAAATCAGTGTGAGGGGATATTCTGGTAATTTGGCTAGGCAGCCATGAATCACCTAGTAAAAAACGAGAAGGGAAGCAGTTCGATATGGAAAAGTTCGAGTATTTGATTGTCAAACAACACCAACCCTCGCCCTGAACCAAAGCCTAACACTCCCAAGTGCCACAGCTGCAACATCAAAGTGTTGTAGTGGGTATGGGGTAGTATGGGTTGGAAAGGTAACGAGATCAAACCTAGCCAACCAACCCAATTATTTTGCCCAAATACCAATAGCCCACAGCCAGCTAGAGCAAATCACACCACAGAACACTACACATTTATCACAATGCACGCAAACTATTATGCAGCTAGTGCATAACGACCGACGCAGTGACTTAAACACATGTCTTGCCATGTGCAGTGGAGGATGGGTTAGAGTCGGATAAGCAGATGCGCCTCTAGTACGATGCTCATGCGAGCAAGTTCCAGTACAACCGGGAAGGGGTTGGCCTTAAAGTTCTCGACATTCTGGACCGAGTGCCACGGAAATTTGTGGGGTTGAAGTGCGACTTCGAAGAATACCACAAAACAGAGGACGGAGAATTGGTCTGCATTAACAAGTTCGGTTGGGGAGGCGATCGGAGGGGGGTGGAGTACAAACAGAAGAAAACCCCAGGTGAGACGCGGCATCCCCAACTTGCATAACAAGGTTTGCAACAATGTTCGGGCCAACTGTGAGAGCGATGTGCAAGCCCCGTGCTCAGTTGCCCACATAATGACATGACTGTGATTCGCCCGTTGCCCGTTCAATGCAGGCGGAAATATGGACAACGAAGACATCATGCCGTCGGTGGCAGGTGCAGGTCCGGGCTGCGGTGAGGGAGATGATGTCACCATTGTGGGGAATACCAATGTACCGCCACGGAGCGTGTTGGGCTATGACGTCGCTGAACATGATGGCAGTGGTCAAGAGCAAGGGGAGTGGCGGGGTGAGACTGAGCAGGTGCTAAGGGGCAGCACTCGGTTTGCCGCCGAGATGGGGGAAGGGGATGGCGATGGGACGCCTCGTATCTCCCTCTCCCCTATT